TACTGATTGCTGGATAAGATATTAAAGCGGTTGAGAAAGGTCATCATTCTAACACTCATTATTTTTTCGAGAATCTTAGAAAATGGAGACAACAAAGAAATTGGTCTGTAGTTGCCAGCATCTCCTTTATCTCCCTTTTTATGTATTGGAATAACTTTGGCTAATTTGAACCGATCAGGAAAAGTTGCCGATTTTAGAGACAGGTTGCATATGTGCTTTAGTGGAACAATGATTTCGTCCACAAACAGTTTGACCATAAACATATTGAAACCATCATCAGACGTGGATTTGTTAGGTTTGAAGGAATTGACAATGCTGAACAACTCAGCAGTATTGATTTCATCTAAGTAGAATGTGTTGATATTCTGATCTGAAAACATTTCATGCTGCAAATTCTGGTTAAATCCGCCTTGGAGTGAATTTATCGTATCAATAAAATTTCGGTTGAGTGTGTTACAAATCTCTTTTTTATCGGAGATTGTGCAATCATTTAACTTCAAATGGTCAATTCGAGTGGTCTGCTTTTTAACATTCATCACTTCATTTATCAAGCGCCATTTTGCCTTTATATTATTATTATTTAATTTAAAAAGTTTGTCGTAAAATTGTTTTTCTGCATTACGTTTAGCTTTTGTAAAACTATTTCTAAGACATTTATACACAAATAAATTATTCGGAGATGGATCTTTAATGAGTTTTAGATACTGCTTATTTTTTTCTTTGCAGAGCTTCAGAAGATCCGCATTCATCCAGCTTTTTTTAAATTTAGAACTCACAGGTGGCAAAAACTTACAACAATCATCCACCGTCCTTCGAAAATAATCAAGAAATTTTTGCACACAACGATTCACATCACCATCATTCAAAATGAAATCCCAGTTGGTGTTGTTTAGGATTGTCTTTATTTTATTTACGTTCAATTTGGGTACATTATTTCGATTCGAACTTGAATTAACTTTTTGAACTTCCATATTGTTCGTTAAACAAAAAACAGGATAATGGTCAGACAAATCTGCAATTACAACTCCAGCCTGATGAAAACCATTTTGATTAGTTAGAATATTATCCAAAACTGATGCAGATGTGGTTGTAACTCGCGTTGGCAAATTTATCAAGGCGTGAAATTTGTGGAACAATAATAATCTCTCAAAATTCAATTTATCTTTCGAAGCAGAATCCATGTTAATATTGAAATCTCCTGCAATATAAGTGAGTGAATTACCTTCAAGCAACAAATTTTCGAATAAACTTATAAATTCATCTAAATCAGCACCCGGTGGTCGGTAAACAGATATGATTTTAACATATTTATTGTTGTTCATAGAGATTGTTAATGTCAAAGTTTCTATTGAATCATGCATTACTTTTCCATCGACATTGTAAGCTATCTCATTCAGAACAAAGATTCCAACCCCCCCACCTTTTTTGCTCTGTCTATTATTAAATATGAATTTATATCCGTGTAAATCAATTAAGGGGGAAGTCATATCATCTAACCACGTCTCTGAGATTACAACAACAGTAAAACGAAAAGGAAAGGAATCCAAAAAAAATTTTAAATTACTCATTTTGTGAAAAATACTTCTTGCATTGATATGTATAATAGTGAGAGCATGCTTTGCCGAACTAATGTTATCAAGATTTGAATCATTAATTATTGAATTTGAAACGTAGTAATATTTACAATCACAGGATAAATCATTTTTAACACAATTATTTAATGATGAAATACTAGCCATTATCAACGGATGGAGTTTTAGGCGCTAGATTCGTGTAAAATAACCATTCACGAACATTGGCGTGTAAAGGCCATATATCAGCATTAAAAATTTTATCCTTTTCAATTTCAGGAATACAGATTCTGAAAGAACTATACTCCTCATCGTTGTCATTGGTTTTCTCAGCATTGTTTTTTTGAGGTCGTTTAGCAGGAAATATATTGTGGAATTTGATATCAAAATTTCGTAAATGTTCAGCGACTGTGTCTTTTGAACATGGGGTAATGTTACCAAGGTATATTACTGATTTCTTTTCCGCGCCTTTTAGTTTAAGTGACCCTGTGGTGTCGCATAGCTTCCCGACCGTTTTTTTGATTGGTAGCGAAGTTGGCTTCAAAATCCTTTTATTAACGTTATTGATGTTAGCATCATCTTGTTTACGTTTATTAACTTTATTGGGAACCACCATCCAAGGAGAGCTGTTATTGCTATCAACAGCAACATTATCTGCTGGAAGATTTAATTTCGCTGTATCCAAGTATGACATTTTAGTGGCTTGTTTGACATCAGTTTCTCTGGCGTTGAAAGAGACATTCCCTACTTGGTCACTGCCGGATTGAGGTTTGGTGACGCTACTATGAGACTGCATAAACTTTAAGAACAACTGGTTATTTTTTTCGATGTTGTCTAATCTTTCATTTAATTTATTTAAACTTTCGCATACCATTTTACTATTATCCTTGGCCAGACATATAGGAACTCTTTCAATGTTAAAAATAACAAATATTGGCAGCTGTTCAGATAATTTATTATCCATCAGTTCAACAAATATGTCAACAATGTCACAAACTTTTTCATATTTATTACTTCCTCGGTTCAACTGTTTGATTTTATCCTTTTTCAACATTTCATATTCGGAAACTAAAATTTTTTTACCGACCGAAATCTCGTCACACGTAAAAAATGATGCAACTTCATTTTTGAAATTATTATCTGATATAATTTCTAAATTCGTACTTAATAGCCATAAAATCTCTGAAATACAAATCCTTTTAGAAGCCATTACAACATATTTCAATATTATACAGGTAGGCTTGATTTAGCACGTTGTTATACGCGAATGTTTAGAGGCAAAATTGTACACAGCTATTTTTAATTAAAACGCAATAAAACAGAAAAAGTAGTAAAAAAATTTCAAAATTAAACGAAACAAACTAATTTATCTAATTAAACCTAAATTTTCGGAACTCTGAAATTAAATAAAGAAATTCTAATACTTTTTAAACGATAATTTGACAAAATATATGAATCGTGATTCGTAAATCGTGAAATACTGATTTCAAACGCATTTTTAAGAGAGGCTTCAGAGAGAATGAATTTTTAAAGAAAGCGTTTTAGGGTTTTTTTTCCATGTACATCTATTTAAAAAACACACAAGTACTTTACGCAAAGTACCTACTCTCACATAAATAATCTACGCACTCACACGCACACGCGCGCACACACACACACTCATGCACGCGCACACGCACAAGATTGTAGATATTCTCTTTTAATATTAATAACTTTTCATGGAAGCTTGTTGATGTTTAGTATATAGTACATATTGAAAAAGTAAAAGAAAAAGAAATAGAAAGAAATAAAGAAAGAAAGGAGAGAGAGAGAAAATGAGTGAGGAAGAATTGTCATGGCACTAGTCGGCCAAACAAAACTCGAGCCATACTGATAAGAAAAATCTCCTGACATTAAGCGCACATCAATCAATTTTGTTGAATATATACAATAGATGTGTGTGTGTATGTATATGTATGTATGTTTGTATGTATGTATGTATGTTTGCTTGTTTGTTTGTTTGCATTAAAAAAATTTAAGGGTGATGGGGTCCATCGGGCCGAGAACCTCGATACATTTTCATATTTTTCATTTTCTCGCCGGCTGCCCTGGCTGCGGCCAAACCACATTCCCTTCTTGTCAGAGTTACATATCGTTCGGCAAGGGTGCCAGGGACCGTAACGACCCACGCCAAACATCTACCGGCCCTCCACGGTATTAGTGGGCATCCATTGGGCGCTTACTTTTGTGCGCTATAATGCCGGGTGGCTCCTTAAGAATTGGTGTTGAAGCCTTGCAGAAGCAGCCGGCTAATGCTGGTGAGGTAGTTGACGGCCCCCAACCAGGCAACAAACTAAACCGTGGTGCTCAAACTCGTCCGCCCAACGCCACATAGGCACATGTATTTGTTTTGAATAACCAGGCCAAGTCTGAACCCTATGACGAATCTCACAATGAACAAACAAACAAACAAATGAATAAATAATTATATTCTTCACAGAACCAATGAACGATCGAATGAACGAATGGAAATAAATGAATGCATATATGGAAAGTCGATAAATCAATATATGCCAAAAGAGTTAACACGCTATTGAAAGACACGTTATGCCTTCATATCATGGAGAATGATAAATTATAATTGTGTACATATCTGTATATGTGAGTATGTATGTATATGTGTGTGTGTGAATGTGGGTGTGTGTTTGTGTGTGTGTTTGTTTGTGCGTATGTATGCGTGTATATAGAATATATTTATCTATTTACTTGTAATTTTCTTAGAAAAGATGTATAAAAATTCTTTATTTATGTTAGTTTATTTATTTTATTTTTATTTTTTAACCTTTCTGCGAAAAAAAAATCAAAAAATTTTTTTATTTATTTTAGTAACTCTTCTCAGTTGGTAATAAATTCAACTTAAGTGAATATGATTCTTGAGCGTGCGCTATTTATTGCGTTTTTCTTGTATGTATGTTTGTTTGTTTGTTGGTTTGTTTGAGTATGTATGTCTGTACGTTTTGATGTTTGTTTATTTGTTTGTTTGTGTGTATGTATGTCTGTATGTTTGTGTGTTTGTATGTATATTTTTACGTGTCTATGTGTCATATGAGTATGTTTTGTTAGTATTTTTGCTTACTTGTGTGTCTGCTTCAACCCACGTAAAAATAAAACATATCAATGCAAACGCGAAAATGGTGGTGATAAAGAGGTAGATAATAATAAAGATGTTGATTGTCATGATTAATACCGATGATGGTAATATGAGTGACTAACTTATTTGTTGCAGACACATTTTTGCGTTGAAAAGCCTTTTGTTGATAGCAATGCCTTTATATTTTTCAAATTTTAATTATATCTTAAGAAAATACTAATATGGTAGAATGCTTTCAACCTTTTCCAAGTTTCCCATTTTACATTTCTGTGTGTATACATAAGTTTTAAACATAGGCAAGTTAGTGATTTTAAGTTTGATTTTGAGTATGTATTAGTTCCATATACATGCATCAGACACACATACTCAATCTTACCCACACACACACACGTACACACAACACACGCACACACACACACACACACACACACACACTGCACACTGAAACATAGAGCACCAATCTAACACAATCATTCTATATTTATTCCAGGGCCTAAAATGTTATACGACTCAATGATTGAGCAATCAATAGTAAACAAGTGTTGGCTGGTATGAACACATTTTATACCTCTAAAATACAAAAAGACATAAAAATAAAGAATATACAAACACAAACATACATACACATGCAAACTCTCAAATACCCATGCATACATACACGAAAATCAACCAAAAAACTTGTGTGTGCTAAGCATTGCCCTTGGTTATTCACATTAAATCGAGGTATATTAATGTGATTGCTTAATTTAAACCAGGTTTCACTTATCTAAAAACGTAACGCAAAATTAAACACAAATAAATACAATCTTACGTATAAAGATTCAATTTAACAAATATACAAACAAACACAAACAAACTTATATGCGTTTTAAAACAAATACTTAAAAAGGACACAAAAAAATATAAAAAAAATACATACACACACACATACATAAAAATATACAAACACACACAAACAAACATGCACACACATACAACTCTACACACACATACAATACACGCAGGCATAAACATTCAGACTCCAGAGAATCCTAAACTAGCTGGCAATGCATTCATCCATCCGCTCTCTCCATCTAACTAGATCAGCACACCTTCAAAAATATTCAAGTCACGTACGTACTACGATAACAACAATAACAATAAAATTATGACTACAATAATAATAACAAATAAATAACAACAATTATAGCACTAATATAACATTGCATAGATGTACTGTATATTATACAAGCGTCGATGGAAGTTAAGGTTGTTGCTGTTTGTTGTGTTGTGTGAAATATGTAGAATAGTACAAATACCGATGTTGTTGAAGTTCAAAAAATTGTATTTAATACTCTGGCAAACTCACACACACACGCACGCACACACACACACGCACACAATTTTTAATTTTGTAATTTTTACTTGCTTTTTAAGTTAGTTACTCAAGCATATAACTTTTTTCACATTTTGGCAGAATTTCTTTGTGAATTTATAAGGAAATTACATTTCGTGTAAAAATTTTGAAAGTAACCTTTTTCCCTTGTTATAAAATTCTTCAAAAATCTTTCTTGTCATAATTAGCGAAAAGTGAAAGTAAAAATGCGACTACAACAACTACTACTACTGCTGCTACTACTACTGCTAGAACTACTACTGACAGTAGTAATAAAATTAGTGA